CAACTCATCTAGAGATGCCAGTCAATCTCATCTCATTTCAGAATGTGAAGCCGGCTCAGAGCTGCAATAATTGGATGGGAGACCAGCATGGCTCAACTGAGAAGTAGAAACATCCTTGGCATCCTGCTCCTTTTTGTTGCCAAGAAAATAACATGGATGTCTCTTATGAAGTCAATGGGTGGTTAACTTTACTGGAAAAAGACTTTTCTTTTCTTTCTCAGAGTGGTGAAGTTAAGACACATTGGGTTTCAATTCCCATAAGGCCCAGACATCATGGTCTTGCCAGGAGGATATTGTGGACCAAGCTGGGGGAAGGATGTTTTATGTCATAAGGTTTATGGTATTAAAGATAGGGATCAGTATCACAAACATTCCTCCAAATGTGAACAGATATACTTTCTCACACAGCACTCCAATGTAGTTTTAATGGATTCAGGAAGATGGAATATTGTGGTACCTTCATTTACCTAGGTCAGTGATGACTATCCTTTTTCTCCTTGCGTGCTGAAATCGCACATGCATATATGACAGCATACATGTGTGTGCCCACACCCATAATGCAATGTGTGCACGACCCCCTGCGCTCCCCTTCCCCTGTGCATGCGCACGACCCCTCTGCGCTCCCATTTTGGGCCTAGCAGGCCTCCCTGAAGCCTCCTGGGACCAAAAACGGGGCAAGGGCAGGCGTGCCATTTTGGGGGGAAGGGGTCAGAGAGCTGAGGCTCTGAGTTTATGTCTTTAAAAACATGTTTCTCCTTTAGGGAAAATATAATATTCTGCCTTTTTAATATTTCCTAGAATATTTCATTTTCCTAGGAGAGGGGTGGATGCTAACTTTCAAAGGAAGGAAGGAGGGAGGGAGGGAAGGAAGGAAGGAAGGAAGGAAGGTGTACAGATATGAAAACTAGGTAATCAAAATTTTCATAATACAGACTTACTGGATTTCCATGTAATGCTACACTAATGTGTATTTAATTACAAATTATGCTTCAGGATATTGTTTTCAGTTTCATTGCTTCCCCTCTTAATTAAAACTGTATGCTATCAAAACATTGTGTACTGAGACTTAAGATTCTTCAAGTACCGGTAACAGTACAAAACAAACATCTTCCATAATGGGAAAATATGTTTAGGAAAATACACAGCAAAAATAGCATGTCAACTTAACAATAATTCCAACGTAG